ATTCACAAACCCTCGGAAAAATGCCAGTTTCTTCACTTTGATTATTTTGACGAGAGCCTGATTCCATCACGCTGCCTCACAAATTTAAAACGTTGGTGGAAAACAAAATGGACAAAATGCGGAGTGAAAAAAATTGCATGAAAAAAACAATCTGATGTACAAGTGTTATGTCTATCTGAGCTGATTGAGCCTGAGGGGTGTTTACTTAGAGTTGTTTTAAGTATTATGGGTTTTTTTGCCACTGTTCTTTTTTTTTTCTTTCCCTGTTGCGGGATATCGTGGCTTGAATTTTATTTTTTTGTTTTGTTCCAATGTTGTGCCAATATGTCCTTTTGTTATTTAACTGACCGTGTTATAGTTTTTAAAATGCTTTTAATGAGCTGTGTCATTTGTATTGCGTGCTGCAGAGAGAGAGACAGAGGCATAGAGAGTGACAGAGAAAGGAAAAATGTAATCGAGAGGTGTGGTGTGGTTACCATTTTGTCATTATGGTGCATATTATTATTTTGTTGATAATGATGTCGATTTAATCTCAGAAGAATGTAAGATATAATAAATGAACATGCAGAACAATTCTGTGGTCCTTGATGTTTGTTTGTTCCTGACAGACTCACGGTTTGCTGCTGGGTGGTTGGTGAGTGTCCTGGTGTGGTTTACTCCTTCTTTCCCATCCAACAACATTAAATCATCTATCGTCCTAAGCTCTCATTAGTTTCTTTGTATATATTACTCTCTACATGGTTCCTGCAGTCCCCTTGAATTCAAGGAGTCCTTGAAAACTCCTTGAATTTGCATTCAAGGAATAATTTCCTTGAAAACTCCTTGAATTTGGGGAACCTCTTTGAAAACTCCGTGAATTTCGGCACATCGGATATGAATAAAATTTTTGTCTGATTGCTCTTGGCGCCCTATTGCAAACGATATGAATTTCTTGACCAAATCTTGAATTTTAAAAATTTCTCCTTGAAACCAGTTTGAAATCTCCTTGAATTTGGTGGGGAGTTCATGGCAGGAACCCTGTCTTTAAACTTTCTTGCAATACTTTTATGCCTGTCAGGGTCAGAGCTAACCCAGCAGAAAGACCGAATTTCTTGATAAGAATTCTCCCCATTCGGGAATCGAACTGGGGTCTACTGCGTGCTACAGCGAAAAACCTAACCGCTGCACCACAGACGCCAGTGATATGTCCTTGAGAATGACAACAAGTAGAATCCCAGTGTACATTTGTACAATTGGGAAAATTGTAGCCAGTGATTGCTCTAGAATATGTCTACATGTGTACAAATACAGTCGAAAATGTAAGACCCATTGTTGAGGAGGAAAATAGTCGTCTTAAACAGGTGGTCCTCTTGGAAAAGGGTCGTCTTTACAAGGTGATGTTCTTGGAAAATTGTCGCCTTAATAGAAAATGGTCGTCTTAAACAGGTGGTCCTCTTGGAAAATTGTCGTCTTATTAGAAAATGGTCGTCTTAATCAGATGGTCCTCTTGGTAAACGGTCGTCTTAAACAGGTGATCCTCTGAAAAAATGGTCGTCTTTTACAGGAGGTCCCTATGAAGAAAGTGTCATTATGATAATAAATAGATACATCAAATCAATGGTGGGTCATCATAACACGTCAACCCCTGAGCCAGAGATGATACCCCCAGCAGGTACAGAAGGGCTAAAAAAACAAACAGAGCCAAAGTCCGACTCCTAAATGTAAATTGTGAGGCAGCGTGGTGAAATCAGGCTCTCGTCAATATTTGGGCGTGTGGAGTTATTGGTATCATATTAAACCTTGTTCACTTGTCTTTATTTTGATGGAAAAAATATCCATTTATCTTGAATACAAGTCGAGATATTTGCGAATGAAGGAGGTGGGGGTTACTCGTTTTCACAGGTAAAATTAGTGAGAAAATGGCCACCAAAGATTAGTCATTTCCTTAGCTTAAGAGTCCGTG